ACTTTGATGACAGTTATCACACGGCCATGCACACTGTTTCTTCCCATAATTGTATATTTAACTCGCTGTCAGTAGTTTTAATCCATCCATCTAGCATGCGGTTGCAGCTACTTCCTGTACTACCAGAATATTCTCATTCCCCCTCCCAGTAAACAGTTACTAGTGGCTCATAATAAACCAGCCATGTAAGTGGTTTGCATAATACCTTTGACCAATCACATTTGACATTTTCACAGCCTATTTTCGAGCTGATTTTATTTTTATTAGTTATCCATTATAAATAAATAGTCCACGTTGTTTCTAAACGGGAGTGTCGACGACGCACAGCGGAAGTCGATGTGACAGCGTACTGTCTGTGTCCTGTATACAGCGTACTGTCTAACCTTATTATTATACATTTTTTCCTTCCAATAATACATCGATGAAATGCCGAAATTCAAAATGTTTAGACAGGATCAGCAAACTTTTTTTGGGCAGAGTTACAGAAGACGTACCTACACTTTGTGCAATATTTTTAAAAATATGCTAATTTATTCATGACGTGGCAGTTTCTGTGCTCATGAATAATCATTAATTAGTGGGTTATTACATTCTAAAAGGGGCAACATATTATTTTGGGGGGAAGAGTTAGAAAGGGGGAATTAGCAATCCATGGGATCTATTTGGAGAATAGCAATGTGCCGTGTATTTTTCATAGGACTCGACAATCCAGCGCTCTGTCTTGTCCACTGTACCACGATTGTCTTCACCCAAGTGAAAGGATTTAAGTCCAATTTACAGGAGCACTGTTCTCACTAACATTCAAAAATCGTGATAAACATACTGGATTCGAACCAGCAATCTCTCACATTGCTGACAAGATACAAATCCACTGAGCCATATTGGTAGTCATGCAAACGAATAATTTGTTGTCATATTCAGCTTTATTGCAAATTAGTGTTTGTGATATGTTGTAGAAATACAACATATTTCTATTATTGAGTTACAATTGTCAAACAAATTGCCAATTTTGTGTTTTTACTTGTGTAAATCATATGCATGGCATAACCTGTTAACAAGTTATTTGATTGTGACAATAAATGTGTGGACATATATTTGAGACTTATTTTGGTGTGGACAAGTCGCGTTTAATTAATTTCACCCATTAACAAGTGGTTAAATTGTGACAATAAATGTGTGGACAAATATTTGAGACTTATTTTGGTGTAGACAAGTCGCGTTTGATTAATTCCCAAAATCACAAGTTGTTATATTGAGAGAATAAATGTCTCAACAAATATGTAATACTTATTTTGGAGTAAACCACTCGCGTTTGATTAATTCCCACAATTACAAGTTGTTAAATTGAGAAAATAAATGTCTCAACAAATATTTAATACTTGTTTTATTGTAAACAAGTCGCGTTTAATTAAAACTTTTACCATTACAAGTTGTCAAATTGTAAAAATAAATGTGTGGACAAATAATTGATACTTAATTAGGTGTAAGAATTTGTGGTTGATGAACTTCCACCATTGTAAGTTGTTAAAATAATGAAATAAATATACTGGTATCATTGGGTATTTGATGTAATTGTGAAACTTTCTAAAAAAAATGTTAACTGCTGACTTCGAACCCTCAATCAACAATTCCGCAGACACCTTATAAATACCACAAAACCACAGAAGATATTCGTCTGGTGTCTGAATTGTTTTCATAATATAATAGAGAACGCCTAACATACGTTGACTTGGTTCTTCTGTTTATCTCTTGTCACAATCTGGAAACTATTGAACAAATTGCGCGTCGTCCGGTTTAATACGTAAGTTATTTTATTGTTTCTTCATTCATTTAGTTTTGCATGGTGAAGTTTCGTGAGGTTTATTATTTTTCCGCGAAGTTCTTTGTTGACTTGTTATGGTTTGACGGATTTCAGTTTATTTGATTTACGTTTTCAGCATAGCACTGAGCGGGACTTGAACCCACTGCCCTTTCAAGCTAATTTTGTTTTATCTCGATGGTACGCTTGTGTAACATGCCACGACGTTGGTCGTTGTGTGGTGATCATTTTGCTAATTACTTCAATGTTCCGAGAAGGTGAATGAGTAAGCCAAAACGATTGCTGGTTTCCGATTGCTTCGGTTCCGGTGAGTGTGTATCTAGTGGAATTCGAACCCATGGCGTTTGTATTGTGCGGTTTTTCATTTCCCATGTTGGCTACGCCGCAATATGCAACTACTTCCACGTTTTATTGTGATTTTGTGAGTGTTTAATGATGTCTTCCTCATCCGTCACGCCATGACCCAGTTTCAGCCACACGGCCATTTTGCAACAAAGTGCGTGATCCTTGGCGTGTCCCAACTGACTCTATGATCGTTCTGTTCAAATGTCCATCAAGAATTTATTACCGTTATTATCATTATGTTGTCATGTGATTTGTTCCACCTTATGTATAATATCTTAAGTATCTTTATTGTTATTTGTATATACCAATTTGTTTATACCGAGGAAACGACCCCGATTGAAGATTTGTGACGTCACCGATTCGTGTGTCGGTGGCTTATAGAACTGTGCCTTTTTTTCGTGTTGAATCCGGTCCGTTCCTAGGGGCAGCCATGTTTTTCATTATTAGGGTACGCTTACGCGCGCAATCATTCCTTTTTGCAATTCGCATTTCCTAATATGGTAGGATGAAAATGCTTCTGACCACATTAAGACAAATGCAGCATCAGGGAAAAACAATAATTGTAATACTAGTAATAGAAGGTCTAATTGAGCAAGTAGAATTTGCAAGTCGTCGACAAGCAAAATGATTGGCGTGTGGATT